CTATTATATAATAAAAAAAAAAAATAATATTTTGATATCTAGTAATTATAAAAATATAAAATAAAGTTTATTAGATTAATTATATTAAAATGTATTTAATATAAATTTTTAAAATTAATAATTATTATAATATATTATTTTTCAATTTTTTAAAACATAATTTATTATCTAATAATTATAAAAAATAAAAATTTGATTTATTGGATTTAACCTATTAAGACCTATTAAATGTAGTATTTTTATATTTTAAGATTAATAAATGATATATAAATTTAAAATTTATTAATAATTTATTATATATTTATTTTTAATTATAAAAATTTAAACAAATTTAATTATTAAATAAAATTGCAGACAAATTTATTTTAAAATAATATTTAGCATATAAAAGCATCAAATTTCCTTTCTTTTTATTACAAAATATAATTTCAAAAAATAATATATATATTTTTTTTCTTTACAAATATATTTATTTCATCTTTTAAAAGATAATTTAATATTTATATATCAAGGAAAAGTGCAATTGTTTGGATATTAAAATTTCTTTTCTGAATAAATGATTTGTTGATTGAAAAATCTTTTTTTTTTTTTTTATAAATGGACAACAATGAAAATGACAAATGTACTTGTGGTATACTATTATAATACATTATTATAATCAAATTAATCATTATTTGTAATATATTTTTCTTTTCTATTAGTCGAAGGTTTAAATTTATCAAAATATATATATGTATCATGTGAAAAACTAATGGGCTCATTAAATAATCTTTTAATATTTCCGTTCCTATACTTATTTCAAAGAATAACCTTTACCGTCAAATGTGGATGATGGTTGACTTAATCCCGCCTCCGCTTTCGGAGCACGTAATCTATACCCAAAGAACAATTTGCCAAACGGTAAATTCAACGGTGCAGGAACGTCATCATTTTCACTTAACTCTTTTAATTTTGCAGTAAGTGTACCATTTGAATCTGAAGCTGTAGGTGATGATGATTTTACGGACTTTCCATTCAACCGTTGTCCACTTCCCTGAAAAGCTGAAAATCCCTTTGTATCTGTAGGAGGATCTTCTATTTTTATCTTATTTGCCTATAATTTGAAAAAGATAATCAATTGTGTTTTTTTATTTCGGCAAAAATTTCTTTAATAATTTAATTTGTAAACTAACCATTGATGGTTTTGGTTGTGGTTTTGGTTCTACGTAACCCACAGGTGGCGCAAAGTCAACCTAAACGTTTATTTTTTTAAAAGAAACGTAAGAGATCTATCGAAACTCAAAACGATTAAAACGAAATACTGACCTCCAAATCTGTTTCAACAATTGAAATACCGTTATTACCAGGTTCATTATTACCGGGTCTAACTTCTAATACCAAAATCTCATAAATTTTATTATTATAATTTATTTGGATAAGATCCCCTTGTGTCAAGGTTGAGAAATTTCGAAAAGCATTTTCCAGCCTATATCAAGTAAGTGAAAATACAAATGCTATTAATAAGGATATTTTTTTTTTTTAAAAAAAAAAAAAAGTAAATATTTACACAGCTTTCGGATCACTTATATCCAAGAAATCAACAGTTTGTGGTTGAATCTTTACAAAGGTACCTAAAGGCAATTCTGCGCTTTTTATTTCAATAATGTCACCTTGATCCAACAGCAAAGTCTGCATCATCTATAATGAAGTGCTTTATCGTATTAAATACATTTGATAAAACGAGCATTCAAGCAATAAAGGTAAACTTTCTTACCCAATAAGGTAAATAAACACGACCTTCTTCGGCAATGAATTCAAGAACTCCGGCGTGCGAATGTTGTTGTCCATTTTGATTACGTAATTCAAACAACATCGGATATTCTATTTCCAAACTAGCTATTTATCGAAAGAGAATAAATAGAACACGATTAATAAATATATTCCAAGTGCGATGAATGATTCGAAAATCTCACCTAGTTTTGCCAGTGCGGAAGGTGGTAAGATAACTAATGGAAAAAAAAAGTATGAATTTGATCAAATTTAATTCTCATAATGAGTTTTCACGTCCTA